ATTGGCTGGAAGGTTCATGTAATACAAACACAGACACCCAATTTTTTTAAAATCCTTTAAGTAGGAAGGATTTCTGTATATCTCTGACTTTTTCTTATCATTAATGCATTTATATTAGTTGCGTTTTATTTTACAGCAGTTACTTTATTTGCTGATCTCTCATTGACTGCCAGGCAAGTGCAGGCTAATCCTGAAAGGTCTCACGTGACTTAATCGTTCACTATTCCATTGGTGGTTTTTTATTTTTCTCTACACCCTCTCTATTGCATTATGACAATATATAGCAAGCCAACATTGACGGGACAGCTCATCAACTTCCAGAGCTTCATCACACTGGTCCCAAAGCAAAACATAGTAGGCACATTATGTTCAAGGATTCGAAAAATTTGTTCGTAAGACACGATAGAGAAAAAATTAAATTCATTAAATTTCATTACTCTCCTCAAGAACTTGGAATTCAAAGGTGACATAGGAGCAGAAATTCCTAGAAACCGCTCTTCCTAATGTCTGAAGAAGACATTTCAAGCAGCCACTCTATGCATGACGCTCTCCAACAGATAGTTAATCCAGTCTAATGTCAGGACAAGATACCGCTTTTGACCACCTCAGTGTGTATTTATTTGTTTAGTTGCTCATTTGGAGCAAAGTATATCGTAAATCAAGTCTACAAATGTATTCTGGAACATTGTCCAGCTTGGTTAACCAGAGGAGAAGATAACGATAATAGCAGCTCCATCCACGAACACCTTGTCAACTTTGGACTTCGAGCACCCCCGCCTGAATGCTTCACAACGTTACATAGAGTCCCTCAATATCGTACAAAAAGACTTGGAATGCTCCATCTGTACATAGCTGAACTACTGGCTATTCGAGATCTGAAACCGGACCTCTACATTCAAGAGCATGACATACATTTGCTTGCCATACCGTGGCCAGAGTAAGGTTCTCACTATAATTTCGCTTTCTTTTATTATACTAGTTTACCATCATTGTTATTATTCTCATCATCCTTGTTTTATTATCACTATTACTGTTTATTAATAACGTTGCGTTTTCATATAAAAATTTTATAAATACACTATATCGTCTTCCCACTAGTTTGTGTCCACTCTAAACAAATATTTTGATCATTCATTTCCCACACTTATTACGTCATGCCAACTTCTGCCCTCTTTTCTAATTTCCAATTAGTCACCCTCTCCTAGACTACACCTCACATTACGTAGTACGTTTTCGAGGAAAAATCCTGCCAGTATCTGGCTGGTCTTATGAGTTCTTTATTAGATATAATTACAGTTGTACAGCTTATGAAAACGAGCCATCGAAAAGAAAATTTTCTTCGCCGTTTACTTCTTTTATAGCCTGTTTTTTTAATTGTCACTAGAAGCACTAATACTATAAAGTCAAATTCAGTCAATTTTAATGTATGCTCTACTCCAATTACCAGCAACACATTTCCTCAATGTTTTGTTTCTGATACTTCTACATAAGTTTTCAAGATGGTCGTTATTCACAAAGCTATCTCATCGCACAAGATATTGCTGACACACATTTTTACAGTATTGGTAAACTGACTTTCATTGCATAAACTGAGTTAAATTGACATTCTGCTTAGTTTTGATAATCTAATAACATTAATTTGAATGCCACTGGTACGAAATTATTGAGGGTTGCTTAGTATTTATGCAACTCTCTTTTGAGGGTAATACAAAAACGAGATCATCGTGTCCTCAACTTCGAAAGTTCACTTTTATTTTTAACAGTATTTGATTATGCATTTGTAATACATACTTAATACAGTATGGATACCGAGAAATGAGCCTGGACAAAATAATCTACCGGTAAAATAATATATCGGTTAGAAAATAAACAAACAAAATAATTAACTAACTGACTCAAAGGAAATTTTGTTGCTGTATATTATTGCCTCCTGTAGAAGAAAGAATGAAACTATAAATTGTTTCTATTGATTTCGATTCTCAACCGTACCTGATGCCATCTTGGGCAACTGATCGACATCATTTATCGGGCCCAAACTGACCAAGGAAGAATTCGTGAATTACCAGAAAATTCTAGCCCAACAAAACTATTGTTAATCTCGAGGCACCACATTATGAACTGACCACGCGTCCAACTTCTCCATCTAGTCCTAAGGCTATTAAACAGAGGATGGTATGCAATTGACTGGTATGATATATTCAACCTGTACATGTAGTGCATGTTCATGTCGCCTAGCAGCCGTCACCTGCATATATGTCTAAGTTAGATCAATAATTTTGATAATGAAGACAAAGAGAATAGCTTTTAAGAAATGAGGTGAATGGCCCAACATCGTCACCTCTGTCTTACTAGAAGTGCAATCAGTGATAAGTTTAATGTGAACTGTAAGTGTAGAGATACTGTGAGCGATCAATAGAATTAACAAATAATATATTAGATATATTTTTTATATTCAATGTAATTTCGATGTGCCTAGGGAAACACGGAACGGCTAGTATGAAATAATCATCACTTTTAAACCAGTTTAACTGATAAATCCGTATTGATGGATAAAATCAACTGTACTAGTCTAAAACCTAGGCAACAATGTGTCTCTATCAAAATGACCGTAGTGATATTTTCTGTCTTCTGAGTACATTCCGTTATGGGTAAAATTTGTTTTGATAAAGTCTCACAGTGTTATACAGTAATGTTTACTGATGTGATATGATTATGAGTGGTAATAAATTTTACCCAAAATGGAATTATACTCTACCATAGTGCACAAGTTTTATTCTTATATACTGAGTACATTATGGTTTCAGAATTACTGCGTCAGAAGAAAACTTTGCAGGTAAGAGCTTACTGAATTCATGGACTAACAGATCTAAAATGTCTTGATGTTCAAGACTGAAAATTCTTCAAAATTAAATAAATGATTCTTAACTATTCAAAAACTATTACTCACTTAAATTGCTTTACCTAAGCATAGTTGAAAACATTACATGCATGCAAAGACATAGGCATGCATACACATACAACCACCTATACAAATTTTACCAATGAACACATAAATACACACAAGAAGAAAGCATACATTTGTCAGCAGTTCGTTTAGAGAGTGATCATATCATATAATACTTTGATAAAGCTATTAGCATTAAATAGCGAAACGTCAGTAAAACTATATCGTTTTGTTTTTCATTCATTGGGAAATACAAATCCTTTATGATAATGAGTGATCATATCACACTGAATAACACTCACAGCTGATCATATATATATATATATATATATATATATATTTATATATCGACTGAACTGATTGACAAATAAGTACATTTAATAGAAAAATAAACATGACAATACTTTACGATACTTGTGAAGAAGTACACATGTTGACCACTACATATGACAACAACAACAGCAACAACCTGAGTGACTGGTTGACTGAGTTTCAACATAGGACTTCACACAGAAGTAAGGTAGTCAAAGTTATCACACTTCATATAGCATACATAGGATGAAAATAGAAAGAGAAAACAAATTTCAAAGGAACTTTAATAAGCAGAAAATTTAGAGGGAAAGAATAGTAACAAGGAAAACTACAAGGGTTTTACGGATCACAAAAAGTGTGAATGCGTTTGTGCCATTAAGAACGATTGCCTGCCATATCACCAATAGTCTCTAGTTATTGATGCTTAGCATCCCGCGAACCTCAAACAGACAGCCTATTGGTGATACTGCTCGAAATCACTGTCAGTGGTGCATATGCATTCACACTGTTTGTGATCTCACATATCCTCTAAGATCTTATACCTTTTTCATGTTACTATTGTTTCTCCCTAATATTTCTGTTTATTGTAATACTCTTGAATCCCTTTTACTCGTTTTTGTCTTTCTTCTTGGGTTGTTCGTAGCATGTATAAACATACTTCATGATGATCGTCCAGAGAAGTTCATTAGTACATACGAAAAAAAGTGAAGAATGGAAACCTGTTTTTTCTACAACTAAAGTTTCCAAATGATCACATAGATGCAACTAAAATAAAGTGGAAAATGATAAGTATGGTAAAGAGAATGTATCAAGCTGTCAATGCTATTTAACTACTAATAATAACGGACGAGTTGTCATTCGTGGTAATCCAACTGGAGTAATAACCTGTTTTCCAACTATTTGGGTCTATCGATTTATTCATTCGTATATGCATTCATGTCCACCAAAACAAATAGACAGGAATTGAAAGAAAAATGTTCTGAGTAAAATTCGAATAGTTTAAGATAAAAGGTTACTGTAACAGAAGAAGACAAGGGACCTGTTACAGTAATATGGCCGTATTTTCATTGTAATATTTCTCTTAATTGAATGAAAAAATCTTTTTAGTGCTTCAAAGACAAAATTGAATCCAATGTTTTAAAGATAAACCGGTCAGTGTAGTTAATCACTCTCCTTCCCTAATGGATGGTTTAAACTTCTCAAATTAACCTAAGACAGATGAAAATTGAAACACTCATATCACTTAATTAAAATCTAATCTATAAATATAAGGATTGTTGATAGCTTCACTTTAGACTGTCTGAATAGTTCTTACTGTCGCATAAACAAAAGTGAGATAAGTCAATCTGATATATAAAAAATAAAAATAGACCATAGATTGTAAAATCATTTATTGTTTGCTTTAATTTATCTGCAAATACTCTCTTACTAAATAAACAAGACTAAACACGATGTCATTAATTGAAGGGTAGCTAAAAGTTATATCCAGGGGGGACGTGTTTTTTATTCCATCGTGAGACTCGTTGGATAGATTTATTAGCATCCTAGTAATTGATAATGAAACACAAACGGAAACTCTGATCAAACACCCATCATTTCAAGCACCAAAGAGTAACCAACTAGTCTACTATACACAATAAGACCCACCTATAAAGCAGAAATTCATATAAGAGCATATAATATACAAAAACCAAAAAAGTGCAACTGTGAAAATTATTATGAATGAAAGGAAATCAAAACTTACAGCAGACGCTATAGCACTTGGAACTCCGGATACTGTAGCTGCGGCGACAATCATTGCAATCAGATGAAAGACTGAACATATTGTTATGCAAATGAATTCCTGTAAATCAGAATTAAAATAAAATAGATTGACGATGATGAAATGTTTAAGCCTCTGACAGATGAAAGCATTTATCGCTTCATTTGTAATTGGAATACGATCCAGTTTGAAAAATAATTTTGCTAATTCTGAGGAGACTTTTACTAGAAATAATGAGCAATTGAAAATTTGTAAAACTTGGCAGAATACCAAAACACTAACTGACTATATTTATGATTATTTGTATTACTTTGATTGGACTGTACACAGTAGCTTGTGTTATGTGTTTATTCCTTCGTTTGGTACAGACTGAGTTCTTTCACTATGCTAGGTGACGCATTATCGCTGCACATCCTGAATTGTTGTCTGGTGGTTGGATGCATTCGGAAGGATGCCATAAACCTAGGTTTCGTGCATGTTAGTTCTCCTTAAATCTAAAAAAACATGAGTTTCTTCAGGATTGCAGATATCCCTTGCTAAAGAGTGCCAAAAAGAAAAAACCGTAGGTCCCAGCCAGCCTTCCTGTCGATTGTTGCCAACTGTCTAACAGAAATTATTTATACTTTTCAACATTGCTTGAGAACAGTGTGTTTACGATAACAGCTAGACAACATGATCTGCCATCAAACATAAAATCATTTCACATCTCTGATTAGAACACCATGTGGTACGGGTTTGAATGCTTAAAACAACATAGGATTTCCTCCATCATCCCCGAACATCACCATTGTCAATATTCATTGCTCATGAGTGACGACAAGTGCCTAGACGAATATGCCTGAAGAGCTTTCTGCTAGTTGTCTTTAAACATCATAACTTTCTTCCTTGATTTTCCAGGATTGAAATCCAAAAAAACAGAATATACCTTAAAGTTTTATGCAACCGAAATGCCAATGGACATGAACAGAATTTTCAACAAAGCAAAAAAGCAAAAACTCTGTGACCAATATGGAACACGACATCAAGGAAGAGTGTGGTGATATATCGGGTTAATCGACTTAAGTGAAATCATAGCAACAGCGTGTAGTATATCCAATTATTTATTGGCTTAGAACTGAATAGAGAGACTTTAATCTTTCTTGAATCGTGAGAATAATAAACTTGATTAAATCCCTAATGACATCCATGATTCAAGTGCTTTCTCATATCGACAAGCGTAGAGCTTTGGTATGGAAGCTCAACTTTCAACCACTTAGTCAATGATTCTAGCAGAGCTTCACCCATTGAAGTTTTAGCAGTCAGATAGGATCAATAACCCTCAAACAATAGGTGTGACACATTAACAGCTGCTTGAAAATGCAAGCATAAAAATCATATCTACATTCCCAGTGAAAAGTACCTATTTAAAAAATTCTAAAACTATTTATAAAGAATGCTAATTAGCGAGCGAGATTTTCTGTTGAATAAATTCATTCTCATAAAATCAATTATAAACTTTATTAAAACTAAAGTCAGATGAATAACACTAAACTATAAACTGGTACAATAGATATATATATATATATATTGCCTTTTTGATTAATCCACTGACTTTCATTTTCTTTCGTTATTTTCTTCGCTACAATTTGTAATAAACTTAAGTAGAGGTATGTAGGTTGCCGAAGGAAACAAAAGTTTACTCTTAATTTCTACTTATGATAATGTAATTAATTCAAAGAAATTACTTCACTTGAATTAAGCATATTTTTACTTCTTTTAAATGACGTAAATAATCAATGTTTAAATAGTTATGTGTAGGCTTTTTTCTGTTTATTTTTTTTTGTCTTTCTAATGCGCTATATCTTGGTGTTTCACACGCGCTAGCTGTGTTTGTAAACATGTTATGAAGAATGCAGAAACGAGCGAAGGTAAATAATTATTTGATTGACAGGGAAGAATTTAGCAACACGGGGAAAACAATCGATATATATATATATATGTGCGTGTTTATAAATACTTGAACATTACAATATGAAGCATGATCATGAGACTCAACAGTGAATAAATGCATTAATTTGTCACTTTTATGTTAAACAAAACAAAAGTTTCCAACCACACAGACAATGAATGAGAAGACAATTATTGACTAATGTTTGCAAAATTAACACGTCTATCCGTGTGTATTTTTAAACGATGAAAGACCGAGCAAATTGTCAAGTTAAATGCGTGTGACTGCTAGACCATACAAAAGAAAAAAGCAATACACCTTTAGTTGATATTGAAGTGTTGGGCCTCCCATCAGTCATCATTCTCCCTGTATTGCCTATTAGATGATATAGAAAAGGTAGTGTTGATCACAAGAAACTATCGAAGTGTACGTTAAGTCTCTAAATCTGGTCATCAAGCGACGCAGCGTTTTGCCAACGGATGCATCGACAGAATCTCTTCAACATCTCTTATTCTTATGTATACTTCACTTAGTTCATCATATCCTCTAAAAGTGTCATTCATTTTAAGGCCTAGAGTTCCTTTACTTTAGACTTATATACTATTAATTAAAAGAAAAAAGAAAATATTAAACATATTTTATGTAATTTTTACTTCATATTCTTTAATTCAACTTTATTAAAAGTATATTTGCTAGTTACCTTGGTAACTCTGTGACTTTTCACACTCAATCCTACTCATTTGCATAGAATTCTCATTTATACAAATATAGGGATGAATAAAAACACAAGTATACACAAGACTGTTGTATCACATAATTTTTACTTCTACATTTTGGTGATATAATAATAATAATAATAATATATTCTGCCTTTTAATTTTTTGTGTATACAAAGAATATAATCCATCTTGTCTTAACACGTGATTGATTCTTTACCTCTGTCTTTCTTCTTCTCTCTCTCTATCTCTCTCTCTCTCTCTGTATCTTCACTTACACGACTGTAGAGATAACTAACTAGTAGTTAAAGTTAACATTGAATAGAACAAGCCTTAAGCATCATTATTCTTTTAAATGAATAAGAGAGATATTGAACTGAATTTTAATCTATTGTTTTATTCTAATATAACGTTTTTAAAGCTTAAAAGTTTACTAAATAATGAAGTCTGTAGCACAGACTTTTCTGAAAGCAAACTGTAGGCAACTAACACGTTCAACGACAGTCACATTTATTAGATAAGTTAAACACAGAAAGTTAAAGTAATACTGATGACCGAATATTTTCTAGGATTTTGATTAATTTCACTGTAGATTTTATCAAGAAGTGACAACATAATAAGAATCACAAAAAATTATATAGCTGTTCTGTCCTATTTTGTAACTTTTCAGAAATCTGCTTCGGGTTAGCAGGTTATACTGTTGATCATTCAGCCGCTAGATGGTCCCCAAACTAGGGTAAAATAGCTGTATGTTGTTCCATGGTTTTGAATGATTTTTTGAAATGAAGTTGTTAAGAGACAGAATATATCATGAAATAAGGATATGTTTTACTTCCAGTTGGCTTTAATTGAATTAATCATCTAATTATATTTTTTTAGTTTTTTTTAAACACACCTATACACAGAAATGTTTTCATTTTCCTTTGTCACTCTCATTCATCTTTCACTTTCTTAACTGATTAGTCACTTAGTAATGTACAAATCTAACAATACACTATTGAACAGAGAGCACAACAGTAGCCCACATAGAGTGAAACAAAAACATTTCAATGAGTGTTAAACTTAAATAGTACTGGTTTGTATACCTAGCGTAAAAAATATAATCATTATTATTATTATTGATAAAAACAGCAAAAATTATTTCATTCTCAAACTAATAATACTGATTAATTTTGAAAGGAATTCAACAGGTCAGTGGATATACACATAACAAGGAGTGAAATTAGTTTTCAGATAAGTAAACAGAAACCACAAATGAGAAGTATGCAGAGAATAAACATATAAAGTGATAAAATGAATTAAGTTTATATTATCGTTGTTGTTTTCTTTTGATTACCTAAGGTTGTTGAACTTTTAAAAGTAAGCAGGTAATAATGTGTAGAGACAGATAACCAAATAAGATCTACAACTATCATTGGTATGCAGTACAAAAGATTAGCACAAAATAAGTCATATAACGCTATTGTAAAGTTAAAAAAATTCACTGGAATGTCTATGATGGCCATAACTGGTGGATATTCTGTTCTTGTATACTCTTCAGATGCATAGATATGATTATGCGACAAGTTCAGAAATCTATATGATATCAAATTGTTGTTCAAGACAATGAGAAGTCTCTTGTCTTTTATCGTTACTTACCGATAAGATCCCAAGTAATGCATTTCGATTAAAATTACTACGTATTAAATTCAGTTAGTCAGGCTTCTAAACATCCATGATAACAAGGAACAATTAAATTTGCCAAATTTCGATCAGCCGCAGTAATTTTTTAAGTGATTCAAGCCACTCCTAGTATTAAATAGCTTCAAGATAATGACAGCATGTATGAATGATTGGAGACCTTCCGAACTGATATTTTATTTTAGTTTGATGATTCTGAACTTTTAATTGAATTTTGGATTTTCCCGTCGACTGATTGGACCAAAGTGCTCGGTCTCAGGTTGACATGTCGGCTTCTTGAGCAGATGCTTCGACGATGTCTAGGCATTTAATTAGTATTTAATTAGTGGATGGTGACTAGCAGTGGAATCCAGGATGCGCATTTCGTCCTATTTGGGACTCGTCATCTGGATGTACCTGCATTTCTCAGTGAGTGATGATGTTCCCACCGAGGCTCGAACCCAGTGCCCATGGTTTCAAACGCCAAAGCGTTATCCACTCCACCACTTGGGCAACGAGAGCCACCTCTTGCCCAAGTGGTCGAGTGGATAACGCTTTGGCGTTTGAAACCATGGGCACTGGGTTCGAGCCTCGGTGGGAACATCATCACTCACTGAGAAATGCAGGTACATCCAGATGACGAGTCCCAAATAGGACGAAATGCGCATCCTGGATTCCACTGCTAGTCACCATCAACCAATTAAATTCTGAACTCTTGTCTAGTTATAATCTAGTAAATAACATTATGAGTCTGAATGGACGAACAGTCCATACAAGTG